GGGAAATACTTTCCAGGTTGATAGATCTATCTAGCACTGAACAGCTGGCACAAAACCAGATCAATATTTCTAGAAACTCTCCTAAGTACTTCACCCCACCCAAAGCTTCGTTTGAAAGAAAAACAACTGAGGTCTCTACTTGACAGGGGGTTTGTGTTTTCTCTGTACTTTCCAACGCACAAGGTAGGTATGTGGTAGCACAACCCTGGAATCTGCCGTGAATCGTTTGCAAGGTGATGGGTGCAAGGCACTTGGTATAATGCTGAGCATTAGGACAGATAACTTCCAGAATGAACATATCAGCAGGATTCAGCTTCCTTATAGATCCATAGTCAGCCTGACACAGAAAAGCTGGGCACTTGGTGGGCACTCACTCTTTGGTAAGGATTTTACAGTGAAATTTCATGTGGTCTTTGCTGCTGAAAACCAAGAACCGAGTCCTGAAGCCTTTCTCTACGGCTCATTAAGGTACACAAGTAATGAAAGAACATAGTGCCTCTAATCAGACCTGGGTTTATGCAGAAGGGACTGAACGCCAGGCAAAGGGTCTCAAATTTTAGACTCATTAAGGTACACAAGTAATGAAAGAACATAAATCAGACCTGGGTTTATTCAGAAGGGACTGAACACCAGGCAAAGGGTCTCAAATTTTAGATTCAAAGTCAGTGCTTCTGCAAGACTTCCAAAGCTTCCTGGCACTGCTGCACAGATGCAGCCAGCACTAATGCCCACGGTCCTGCAGCTGGCACGGGGCACCCGTCGGTCACACAACACACCAGGCCCCTTCCCAGCAGCTACAAGATAATTGTGTAACACAGACTTGTAGGTTCAGGGTCACAGACTTCTTTGGATGGAAACATTTGGAAGTAGAATTCCAAAAGCCACTGAGAATAAATGACTTGGATTTGATTTTTAAATCACAGGGACCTGTATAATCACACTGCCATCGATGGTCAACCATCTTCTTTCCTGCAATGCATAAAAACACTAGCTGGAGGGGTTGGAGAAAGTCATAGCAAGACAGTGATAAATTGATCCCCCTCATATTAAATAAGACTTACTAGAAAAAGCACATTTAAATATTTTTCATTATTCCAGTACGGATTAATGCCTCATCATAATCTTAGATTCATCCAACACCATTCATCCCATAGTGCTCTACAATGACAAACAGTTAAGAATTCTTTTACCCTTGAACTGCAGCCAACTCCGGGATGCAAAGCAGCTGCCAAGTAGACAGCATGCTGCAAGGACCATAGCAAGCATCACTCTGTAATGAAATGCAGTATGTGATCTCTATCAGCATAAACCAATACGTTGATTATTGAGGGAGGTTCAGCTTGAAAGACTCTCTTCTTGCACAGGCTGGAATGCAGTTCATCCACTTTGAGCCAGGTGACAGATGGGTCACCTCTGCTAGGGCAGAACCTGCAGTCCCAGGGTTTGAATGTGAGAAAGAGCCCTACGATAAGAGCCAGAAATTGCTAAGCTATCTTTTATTTTCTGCTCTTCTCTCTGGCATGCAAGAGCTGGCATGCTTTTTAAAGTCAAGTAAAATGGTCATTTATTATAAATCACCCAATTACTTTGTCACGAGGGGTCATTGTTACGTATTTCATTGCATTTGCAGCCTGTGTGGTTTCTGAAAGCACACCCCAAGGAACAGTGTGTATCCCCAGTAAACAGCCTTTGTGTGCTGCTATTTGGGCGAAGGGAGTGTCTGCAGCCCGGTGTAGTGTAACAGCTACGGGCACCGACTGTGCAAGCAGCTGAACGAGCAGAGCGACTTGTAGACTCAGAGAACTTGCACTGTAAACAAAGCACCCAGGTGATGGTGAGGGAGCAGCACTGTCGGCTCGATCGGAGGCGAAGCCCAAACTCCGTAAGGCTGGAGAGGAGACTCCTTAGTTCCCAGACTACAGCAGAGAACTGAGCCGTGCCTGTTCCTGCAGCTTTGGATCAATTCTCCCTATTCCCACAGGCGTTTGCAAGCCTATAAATAGATTCAGCTCTTCCAGCACACGTACTCGATCATCTCCTACTTAAAGCAATCATTCTTCTCGACACCAGTGTTTCTGGGTTTCTGCTGCATTATTAGGTGTTCCTCTTGCTCCAGCATACAAAGTGGATCTAGCCTCTAGCCAAACACCCATAAAAAGCCTACAAAGAAAACAGGTTGTTCCAAACCTGTATAGGTACAGCGTTCATAGAACTGAGAGAAGTGCTCTTCAGTTGATGACAAGAGAGAAAAGCAGGATGCGCGCCTTGAACATCTCCTGTGAAATTGCCTCCAAGTTGTTGACGCATCACCCCAAATTCCCTTTTCTCATCAGGAAACATCGACTATGCTATTCTCTGGAAAAGCAGCAGCGTTTCCAGGCAGCTATTAGCCAGGGGGACATTTTAGCTGCTTTGCTGTCTGCAGCGTCTCTTGTCATCGTGCACAAGCCTAACAAAGTGGGTCCGCACTCTATTGATTTCCCATCAGAAGGCATGCCTCGCGTTTTGGACAGCAATGAGGGGGAAAAAAAAAACTACAACAGGGAACAAAGCCGGTCAAATAGAAGCCAAACAAAATCTCTAGTGCTTCACTTCTTCTGTCATCTGAACGCTGACAGCTTGATGTCTCTGGGTAATGCCACACGAGGGAAATTAGCACCGTAGCACTCTTCGGCACCGCCATCTGCATGTCAACGTATGGAGGAAATTGTGCAGGCAGTCAGAAAGCAAG